TGCAGCCTACTGATTATTCGCAACACTTGGCTCTGCATAAAACTTAAAAGGATTATCAACACCAATTTACTTAGTCCTGGCAACCTGTTGACCTTTCATCGGACAGTACATTTGGAGGTTTCGGTTAGAGTAAAAGTAATAAATTGTGGTATGTCTGCTTGCCTCTGATTCCACGTTCCACATGTATTTGATTAATTCATAGGGTAGCCAGGCCAAAAGGTCGAGCCAGAACCATCCGCGAAGATAGTTCAACCGGATCACCCTAGGGTCGGCGATCACTTCTCCACCAGGCCCCACAAAAGAGGTGTGAAAGTTGAGCACAATATCGATGCAGAAGATGATGTCGACGATAGTATCAGTCATGGCCAAGGGACCAGGAGCATTTATGGAAGCAAGAATGGAGCTCCGTACGTTGTCTGCTGTCTTCCCGTTGGCGTCGGAGTCTAAGCGAATGCTGAAGCTGCTGTGGCCTGCCAAAGCGAATCTCGACTCGGTACCAGGCAAAGGAAAGACGCCATGGTTCTTTGTTTGGTCGGTCAGATCGCCAGTTGCACCAGTTCCGCCAGGATCGCTGGGCAGGCTAGCCAGATGTTGGGCTAATCCTGCCGATCTGCCCTCCGTGCCGGAGCCCTGGGAGCCAGGACTCGAATCCAGGCTGGCTAAAGCCATCATCTTGGCGGTATGGATCCAAGCTGGCTCGGGCAGGACTGCTACACGAAGAGGAACCACCAGAGCGGTGTAGCTTGTCAACAAAAGTATGGCCCAGTCCCAGAAGATGCGAAAAGCCGAGTAGTGCAGAAGGATGTGTCGCGGTGGCCGAGGCGGCTCAGGTCGGTATTGAGGTACTGAATTAAAGTTCTGATAGTGTGGAAGATGCGCGCTGTCCTCGCCCTCGGAGCCAAGGTTAGACGTAGTCTGGAGAGATGAAATGAAGGCAAATTTATGAGAAAGCAGTCCGAGACTGTATTTAATGTATTGCAAATCGGAACTAGGTGGGCTATATGAAAACTGATGAGGAGGAATTACAATAATTGTTTTTACTCGTTATCGATATGATAAGCTAGATTATCAGGCTAGCAACCCGACTCCACACAGAAGTATCGGCAACCCAGATAATATAGTGAATAACAAAATGGTCACTAAAAGCATTTAAATGCTTAATAATAATTACACATGCCTTTAATTTGCTTATGTCTGCCAATGTCAAATAGACACGGAGCCCTCATTTTAAAAACGACTTTAAATTTCATTATATGAAAAGTATTCATCCTATTTCATTTTAGGTGATGAAGGATTGGTAGTTGAATTTTTCCACAATTTCACGAATAGACCTGACGTTTCTATTGATTTCAATATTTTCCTGCTTTCTAAAAGGGTGCTCTCATCCAAGCTGAACTGCAGTTTCGATCTCGCCTAAGTCCTATCAACTAAACTACTTGCTTTACATTTTTTATAAGAAGGGCTCCGGGACTGCCAGCAAATATTTTATATTAGATGGATTCACCCTATGTATCCATATAAAGTTGTATGCCTACCTCATTGACAATAGGGTAGCATGCATGACAGGACAAGTTAAAGGTCTTTCAGGGGCAAACTTGGTTCTACCATCTATTTTTAATAAGTTATAAAGTCTGAACTATATTTAATATGAAATAAACGGCGTTGAATGACGTACGTTTTGTAGTGAAACCTCACTAAGCTTCAGAGGCATAATAAGGCTTTCCATTAAATTTAACTAAAAGAGCTCATCTGTCAGGCACTTGGGCATTACAATGTTGCATGTTTTCATTTATAGCAAATCAGAGTATAGAATAAAGTAGGTTTCGAATCTGGAACTCTTACTAAATCTGATACACAAAAATCATCAATAAATACATGTACAACGATATATGTGTTTATACAGTGTGAACTAACGAATGTTTATGTCAGCTACGTATGACATATAGATATAGTTACTAAAACTAATTTGGCTCCTATAAAAATCTGTTTCTTTAAAGCTTATATATAAGATCCCTTGTAAAGTTAAAATATATTTTATAGGGAGGACACTGACTCTAATTAACCTTCGAAATCGACTATAGAATATTTGAAAATCCAGCTCTTACATACTTGGTGAATAGAAAGTTTCACAAAAACTGGCTATTACTTATGAGTTTTTATTCACTTGTATACTCCTGAGAATGACCTATCTTGGTCACCAAAAGTACAGCAAATATAAGTAAAAGTACTATTGCTATTACTTTTACTTAAAGTAAAGCTTTGGCGTTTTAAGAGGAAATCGACAGGGATTATTTATACTACTGAATGAATGGCAAGATGCTGCAATGTATAAGTGGAACGCATAATCAATGATCATGTCAAAAAGTAGATGAATCTGATAGATTTTAGCTCATTAGCTAAATAAGAAGACAAAAGACTATCAGGTTTCAGAAAAATAATCTTTAACGTATTGGTAACAAATAGTTTTGCATTCCCTGGCTGTGCCGAGATGTAAATACGAATCAGCATTAATTACAAGAGATAATAAAGGTTTTTATGTTTTCGCCATGAAATTAATGGGAGTTACTTGGAACGAGGATAAAAACTGAACAAAAGAGATTATTCGAGTAATGTGAAATAAACAATAATGTAGGGCACAATAAATTATTTATAATCTAACATCTAATTATTTAAAACCAAGTAGATTCAGCTAGTCAAGTAAGCTGCTATTAAAAAAGAGCTGATCTCTTACTTTTGAACTCATCTGACGAAAATATGTAGAATATTGAAAATATTTGTGTAGATTTCATGTATAAGATGGCATTTATGCCAAAAATAAGTGTGCATCAATAAAAATAGAAGAGATTTTTTCAGCTTCAGTATTTCACTTCATTTTAAAGCCATGCAGTTTATCAAACCTTTCATATTGTAATTTGCACCATTAAATTCCCTTATTCAGATTTTTTAGAAATATATGCCGCTTGATGATTTACTTTGAAATATAGCTCATGACTTGGGTATTCTCAAGATATTATTTTATCTTCGGCAGTCACTAAGGCTCGTTATATTTACACTTTCGGACTATTCGAGAGGTTAAATTTATATAAAAATGGGTTGACTTTGTTTTCTCAAATTGGTCTTGTTTTCAGGGAGACTTAGGTGGACGCAACTTGTCTGAATTCCTCTGTCATAATTACCAGCTCCAGAACATGGACTTGATGCAATCTCATATGTTTCGCTGACATCGTAGTCGCCATCATCAGTGAGTCTTGCTATTCTCTGCACTAAGCTACAACTCGTCAAAGCGATAAATGAAATCAAATCCTTGACCAAACTTTCTGCCAAAATGGTCGTTCTATCACTACTCTTTTTGTTATGGTCCATATCGATTTTACCGAGGGCCATACCATCTTTGTCTTCATATCTTTATTTAAATTAATATTACTAAAAGTTTTAAATAA